GTTTGAGACAGTGCCATCACTCACTCTCTCTCCCCTCCTCTCTTTTCTCTACCCCTCCTGCCAATACAGGATCCATGTTCCCAAAGTCACGCTACCTCTCATATACGCAATCGAGAACCTCGGATACCGTATTTTCCATGTGGAAATGAATCCGCTCTGTTCCAAGTGTATGGAGGTGAGCTTTATACACGAGAGCCTGGTGCAACCTTCTAGCGAGGATGCCTGCTACGTAGAGGATGGCAACGGGAGTAGCACCACCAGCAGCAGTGGCGGGGGCGACAGTGGTGGCAGTGGCAGCAGTGACAGCAGCAACAGCATGGGCAACAATGAGAAGCCAGAAACAAAAGACCAGCAGGAGCAGCAGCAGCAGTAGCAGCAGCAGCCTAAAATTCAGCAGCAGCAGCAGCAGGAGCAGGAGCAGGAGCAGCAGCAGCAGCAGCAGCCTGAAATTCAGCAGCAGCAGCAGTAGAAAAAAATCGGGCAAGAACAGCAGTCGCAGCAAGAGCAGCAGGGAGGGGAGTGAGGAAGGGTTGCTTAGAAATACCATAAGCAGGATTAGTTCGAAGCCACTTCCAAGATTTGCTTTCCATCCTTCTCCAAGCATCCACCTACCGTCATCGCCCGGATATAAGACATATATGTCTTATCTCGTACACGGGCAAAAATGCTTGAGTTATCTTGTAAACGGGATGGTTTAGGGTGTCTTATAATTCTTATAAATGGAAAAAATTTTAAGTTGACTGTAACACTTGCAAAGTGTGTAGAAAACACCCAGGGACCAGATTCATTGAAATAGGCCGACCTCGGTGGTGATGCAGCAAAGCTGCCACCGCTGGCAAGATTCCTCTGTGCTGGCAGCATCTAATGATGCTGCCAGCGTCGTTTTGCTGCCAGCAGCGCATGGCAGCTTCCAGAACGCTGCTGGCAGCACGTTGGCAGCGTCAGGCTGTCCTCTACGAGGAGATGCCTCGTAGAGGAGCGGCTCGGCACCTGTGGATGGGGCACTCTGGCTGGGGGGGGTAGTCGGGCTTTCACTTCATTTGGTGCTCATGGAGGTTGAATTCTCACCTCAACCTTGCTCTCGGCAGGCTCTCTAACCATGCGCAGCAAGGTACCCCTAGGCAAGTCCTCACCTCGTCCTCACGTGCAGGTGAATAACTACGGGCGAATTAACTCGCCCGGCGATGACATCCGCGTAGCCATGGCGAAGAACGCGAGCAAGGCGGGAAGTCCTACCGCCGCCTCCGGTGCGAGCTGTGACGGGGAAGACGGAGACGAAGCACACGGCGACGACGCCGAGGAGGATTGGCCGGAGAACGGCCACGATGACAGCGCTTCGGGCGACGAATTTGGTACTGCCGACATCGAGGAGGACGAATGGTGGAATCAGCCGGTCGGGAGCGACGACGAGGTGGAAGAGTGGCGGGCTGGTGATTCCGACAACGACGGAGGTGAAGATGCTGGCGGTGACAACGCGGAGGCACAGGAAGCGGCGGTGGATGCGAATGAGGCTGCCGGCGAGGCGGCGGCGGAACTCGAGACAGAGGCGCCTGCGGATGCGGACGCGGTGGCGGAGGCGGACAAGGTGGCTGCGGATGCCGTCTTATTTGAGGGTGAGGGCGACGACGACGACCCGTGGAGCCTTGGGACAGACGACGACGTTCCGCTACTGAAGCGGAGGCTGCGCCATCGCCTACAGTCCACGACGAAGCGCGCCCGCGTGGTGCTCTGTGACGACGACAGTCCCGGGGAGGAGCGTCGCCCCCTACTCACCGCTGCGGAGAAGGGAAAGGCAAAGGTCGTGGAAGCCCCTGCTAAGTCCCCTGCTAAGGCCCCTGCAAAGGCCCCTGCTCGTGGCCGCACAAGCAACAAGAAGCGCAAGGACGACGGAGACCCTGGATCCAGCAAGGGTGCGGCAAAGAAAAAGGCGAAGAAGGCGCCGAATCCTGACGACATCATCGTCAACGAGGCGTTGGGCAGCGACGATGAGTACGCGGCGGCGGCGGGCCCGATTCCCACGTTCCCTGAGAAGGAGGCGCCGAAGGACCCCACCCTCCATAATCCCAACACCCGCCCACCTTCCCCTCGCAGCAAAGACACTACGAAGAAGCGCCGCGGCTGGACCGTGCGTGAGAAGGTTAAGTGGGCGCGCCGCTATCAGGAGCTCGGCTCCTTGAAGAAGACTAGCTTGGAGTCAACCGCGAGCGTCGCCTGCATCAGACGCTGGTGCGCGGAGGCGGCTGCGGGCATCTACAAGGGCGCGGCTAACTGCCGCAAGCGGATGCACGGGGGGGGCCGCCACGCACACTACCCCGACATGGAGGCAGCGTTGTACCGCTACATCTGCCTTCAGCGCGCTAACGGGGTGGCCATCTCGGTGAAGGACACCCAAAAGTGGAGCCGCGAGTGGATGAAGAAGCATTACCCCGGCAAGAACTGGAACGCGAGCTCTCACTGGAGCCAGCGTTTCCGTGACCGCTGGAACCTGGTGATGCGGGTGAAGACGAAGGTCGGACAACGTCTGTCGGCAGGTGCGTGGATAAGGAGTTCGTGCCGCGCACGGCCCATTGTATGCATGTCTTACCTTGCTCGTTGTCTAACCGTCCCTCGCTTCTGTTCCTGTCCCGTTTGCAGAGTGCGCGAAGGACTGCGAGTCCTTCTGGAAGTTCGTGCGCATCAACAGGGCGCGGCACAACATCGACCTGGCCCGTATCATCAACGCGGACCAGACGCCACTGTTCGTGGAGATGCCGGCCGAGAGGACGATCGAGCACCGTGGCGCGCGCTCGGTCCCAATCCGCACTGCAGGCTACCAGAAGACGCGCTTGACGGTGATGCTCGCGTGCACTGCATCCGGGGAGAAGCTGCGGCCGTGGGTGTGGTTCAAGATGAAGAACGTCCCCAACTGTGAGATTCCGGACGGTAAGCGCCATGACTTCAACCTTGCCCCTGCCTCATGAGCGTGCCCCACTGTGCTGATGTCCGTCTGTCCCTTGTGTGCCTGGCAGGAATCGTAGTCCAAGCACAGGACAACGGGTGGATGGACGAGAGCGCTGTGCAGACCTGGCTGTCCAAGGAGGTGCTTCCCCATCTGAACCCCCAGCGCGGCAAGAGCGCGAGGCGTGCGATGCTGGTGTTGGACTCCTACCGCGGCCACATCACCCAGACCATGCTTCAGTCGTACCGCACGCACAGCATCACCCCTGCAGTCATTCCAGCGGGTTGTACGAGCCAGATTCAACCCCTGGACGTCTCCATCAACCGGTGCTTCAAGGCTGCCGTGCGAGCGCGCTACGCCAGGTGGTTCATGCGTGAAGGGATTCACCTGAAGACGAAGAAGGGTGAGTTGGCTGTTCATTTTAAATTCCTGCTCTGTTTCGTGTCCTTATCGTTAACATCTCGCTGCCGTGTCCTCTGTCCCACCCGCAGGGAACCTGCGGAGGCCTCCGCACCCCGTGGTGCTGCAGTGGATCGCGGAGGCTTGGGATCAAGTCCCCAGGTAGATCATCATCGACGCGTTCCGCCACTGTGGGATCTCCAGCAAGCTGGACGGAACGGAGAACCACCTGGTGATGTCTCACCTGCGCGCCAGGAGCACCACCGATGTCTCCGAGGACATGTCCCTCGGGGGGGACCACAGGCGACAACACGCGCCTGCTTCGGAAGGCTCCAGAGGAGGAGGAGGAGGAGGAGGAGGAGGAGGAGGAGGAGGAGGAGGAGGAGGAGGAGGAGGAGGAGGAGGAGGAGGAGGAGGAGGAGGCGATGCAGGCGGAGGGCGTGCGGGAGGTGGCCGTGGCAACTGGCCTGGAGGTGCTGTACCAGGAGACCCCCAACTACCGCGGAGCGGCGGCCGAGGCTGACCGCATGATCGAGCCAAGGGAGACGGCTAGGCATGCCTGACGAGTGCCAGACCTGGGCGTAGAGCCTGTTGCTAGTGCTGCAGAGGAGGCGGTTACTGAGGGGGGTTAGGTAGAAGTAGGGATTCATGAATGTATGGATGTACCCCCCTAAAGTAGTGTAGGCTCGTTTAGAAGACACCCCCTGTTTATAAGAAAACCCCTAAACCCCGGTTCTGATTATAAGACATATATGTCTTATCTCGTACACACAAATAGGTGTCGTATAAAAAGGCTTGCCTGTTTATAAGAGACACCCGTATAGTAGACAACCCCTGTCTACTATTCAACACTGTCTTATATCCGGGCGATGACAGTATCTGCTCGTGTTGTGTGTACTGGTCACTGCAGCACTAGAGTGGTATCCGGTCTAAACATGTATGCCTAATAAGTAAGCAAAAAACAAGTAGCACCTAGCAAAAGCTTGGGATGTAGAGCATTGTTGGTTGGCTAAGACTATCCTAAACCCTATGCATCACTACAAGCGTACATGCAGGTGGTACTATATGAACATGCTTCTACACACCAAAAATAGCATTTCGTGCAATAAGCATACGCTCACAAGACCAAACCCAAAATGGCACTGATTGGATTGATTCAACCTGAGACAGGTTGTACTGCTAGGAGTATACACCCACCCTCTTAGCCTCGCTGATATGAACACAACTGGCTTACATCATAGAAACAGCTATGGTACCAGCTTTGACACTGCAAGTGCTGCTTGTGCTCTATAGAGCACAGTTTTCGTTATGGAAATTTTGTCGGTTGAGTTGGTAGGCTTCTTTTCTGCCCATTAGGCCACTCACAGCCTTCTGAGCGACCTGCTTCGAGCCACCTGCTTTGCAACTTCTTTTAACTGCTTTCTCTTCGTAACACAGCAGCCACATCATCCCCTCATCCTCCCGGATCCCCCCCCCACATCCCTCATTTCCCCTCCTCAAAAGAACAGCACTGCAACGGATCTGTCATCTCTGGAGTTGGCGTGTTTCTCTGCTGCCCACTTGGCCATGGCTTTCTGAGCCACCTGCTTCGCCAGCAGCGATCAACCCTTTCCTCCACTCCGCCCCATCCCCCACCCCTCCATTCCCCACCCCAATTTCTCCTTTAAAAGAACAGCACTGCTACAGAAATATCGTCTCTGGAGTTGGCGTGTTTCTCCGCAGCCCACTTGGCCACGGCTTTCTGAGCCACCTGCTTCGCTGCTTTGCTCTTGGGCCATGTGTTTGCCACTATCTCCACCACCTCTGCATTCGACAGCACGTCCCACACCTGGGGGGTGGGGTGGAGAGGGGTGGAAGGAGGTTGTGTGAGATTGTTCTGGATTGAGGGGGGTTGTGAGTGGTTAGCACATCATCCCAGGAGCCATGTGCTGCTCTGCAACTGGATCCCATCACTATCAGAGCAGAACGGAGGGCTTAAAGCGACGGTGCAAATTTGCCACCCGAAACCCAAAACCCTGCCGAACTGTTACTGCGGATGAGAAGTGTCCGCACGAAATCCTGGTTTTAGCCAGCCAACACTTTCGCGCTGGCAAGCCTGGTACAAACAAAAACTTCTGAAACCGACCCCGCCAAAAGTGCACCGTCGCTTTAAGCGATCCGACCGAAGCCATGACCGCGAATTAATCATTGGGGCCAATGCTGCGCACGGTAACATCAGGCCTGCAGATGAGCCCATGTGACTAGGCGATGCCCAAAAGGGACTTGCCACAGGATTATGATAAGGACATACAGCTTGATCATACAAGGGCAAGCAAGACGAATAGAGCACTCACCCCATCCAAAGCCATGACCACAAACTGATCGTTGGGGTCTATGCTGCGCAGGGTGACATGCAGATGAGCCCATGCGATCTGCTCTGGGACATGCACCCTACCAGAACAGAATGAACAACAGACAAAACCACTCACCCCGTCCAAAGCCATCAAAACGAACTGGTTGTTGGGGTCTATGCAGCGCACTGTCACATCTGTTCTAGAAGTGAGCATCAAAACGAGGAGTACACACCGTCTAAGGTGACGGAATGTAGCGATGGCTGAAGCTCAGGTTCCGATCTTCCGGCCTAAGTCGGCGGAAATGGAAGATGGCTTTGAAGCTTACGAGGAGCGGATCGAGGGCGAGTCGTGGGATCACGGTGTCTGTGTGTTCGAGCCTCCCTGCAGTTAGCAGCCCAAATTTCGCGGGTACAAGGGCGTGAACGACTTGGTCATCGCCACGCCTATCGAACAGCGCGTGACGGGTAGCCGCAGCGTATTCGACATCTCTCGCATCCCAACTGACTCTCTTACGGTCAAGAGCTTTCTGGCGAAAGAGGACGGCGGGAAGCACCATGGGACGACGATGACGGGAAAATCTGCTCTTATTGCAATGCTTGTATCGTTGAGGACGCTTGCATTGCAGCTGCTGGTGCTGGTGTTGCCGCGGCGCAGCATGCTAGTCTTGGGAATGGCGGTGCTATGCCATCGGACGGAAGCAGCAGCGGAGAGCCGCGTAGGTCGGAGCGTGGCAGGGGGCAGCGGTCGCAAGTGTGCCGGGAGGTGAGGCCGGGCGACTCGACGACGGTGACATCCAGCCGGCAGATGAGCCCGTGCGATTTGAGCTCAAAGTCGCCAAAGGCATGCGCCACTGCCAGCCCCGGTGAGCAGAATGAACAGACCACCCACTCACCCCATTTGAATTCATGACCACAAACTGGTCGTTGGGGTCTATGCTGCGCACAGTAACATCCGGCCGGCAGATGAGCCCGTGCGATATTCTGTGCAGGGGCTTCTATCCTAGTTCGGACTTACAACATGTTCCTACAAAAGTGGAAAAGGACAAATGCACCCACCCCATCCGATGCCATGACCACGAACTGGTCGTTGGGGTCTATGTTGCAAACAGTCACATCGGGCCGGCAGATGAGCCAGTGGGACTTGCATCCTAACAGGCCGCCCACCCACTCACCCCGTCCGAACCCATGACAACAAACTGGTCATTGGGATCTATGCTGCGCACGGTCACATCAGGCCGGCAAATGAGTCCGTGCGATTTGAGCTCAAAGTCCCCAAAGGCGCGCGCCACAGCCAACAGATGAGCCGTGGGGCTTGCTCCTTGCATCATAAATGGCCGCCCAACCACCCACTCACCCCATCCGATGCCATGACCACGAACTGGTCGTTGGGGTCTAGAGTGCGCACAGTCACGTCGGGCCGGCAGATGAGCCCGTGCAATTTGTTGTGCTACTGGACTTCTATCCTACGGGGGAATCGCCACTGGATGCTAGTCTGGTCTGGACTTACAGCCTGATTCGATAAAAAGCAGAGCACAGCGGATGGACCACTCACCCCGTCGGAACCCATGACCACAAACTGGTTGTTCGGGTCTAGAGTGCGAACAGTAACGTCCGGCCGGCCGATGAGCCAGTGGGAACTGAACGAAACAGGAATTGGTATTTGGTGCACAGCAGAGCAGACGAGAGCACTCACCCCGTCCGAGCCCATCACCACAAACTGGTCTTTGGAGTCTATGCTGCGCAGGGTGACATGCAGATGAGCCTGTGCGATCTGCTCTGGGACATGCACCCTACCAGAACAGAATGAACAACAGACAAAACCACTCACCCCGTCCGAAGCCATCTCAACGAACTGGTCGTTGGAGTCTATGCTGCGCACGGTCACATCGGGGCGGAGATGAGCCCATGGGATTCGCTGACTTGCTGTTTGAAACTTGCCCTTGAGATCCCATCTGAATGGAAGAGAGCACTCACCCCGTCCGAAGCCATCACAACGAACTGGTCGTTGGGGTCTATGCTGCGCACAGTAACGTCCGGGCATCCGATGTCTAGTTTTGAGGCGCCTCAAAACAACAAACTGGTCGTTGGAGTCTATGCTGCGGACAGTAACGTCCGGGCATCCGATGTCTAGTTTTGAGGCGCCTCAAAACAACAAACTGGTCGTTGGAGTCTATGCTGCGGACAGTAACGTCCGGGCGGGCATCAGATGAGCACGTGAGATCTGAGCTCAAAGTCGCCGGGCCACTGCCAACAGATAGGCCCCTGGGACTTGCTCCTTGCATCCTAAAAGGCCGCCCACCCACTCACCCCATCCGAACCCATGACCACAAACTGGTCGTTGGGGTCTAGAGTGCGAACGGTAACGTCCGGCCGGCAGATGAGCCCATGCGATTTCAGCTCAAAGTCCCCAAAGGCGCGCGCCACTGCCAACAGATAGGCCCCTGGGACTTGCTCCTTGCATCCTAGAAGGCCGCCCACGGCCACCCACTCACCCCATCCGAACCCATCACCACAAACTGGTCGTTCGGGTCTATAGTGCGAACGGTAACGTCCGGCCGGCAGATGAGCCCGTGGGACTTGAGCTCAAAAATTCCAAAGGCGCGTGCCAGTGCTGACAGACGAGCCTGTGGGTCCTGTTCCTTGCATCCTAACAGGGCAGTCACTCACCCCATCTGAAGCCATGACAATAAACTGGTCGTTGGGGTCTATGCTTCTCACGGTCACATCCAGCCAGCAGATGAGCCCGTGCGACTTCAGCTCAAAGTCGCCAAAGGCGCGTGCCACTGCCAACCGATGAGCCCGTGAGGCTTCCTCCCTTGCTGCTCGCATCCTACCAGAACAGAATGACCAGAACCCACTCACCCCGTCTGAACCCATGACCAGAAACTGGTCGTTGGGGACTACGGTGGGCACGGTCACATCCGGCCGGCAGATGAGTCCGTGCGATTTCAGCTCAAAGTCCCCAAAGGCGTGTGCCACTACCAGCAGACAAGAGCCCGTGGGACTTGCTCCTTGCATCTTTTTCCTACCAGAACAGGCCACCCACCCACTCACCCCATCTGAACCCATGACCACAAACTGGTCGTTGGGATCGATAGTGCGAACAGTAACATCAGGCCGGAAGATGAGTGGGACTTGTCTTTTGGAGCTTGCCATGTAGATGCTTATTCTTGGATCGTGCCCGTTGAGATTCATCCAGACAGACAAAAAAAGCACTCACCCCATCGGAACCCATGACCACGAACTGGTCGTTGGGGTCTAGAGAGCGAACAGTCACATCGGGCCGGCATATGAGCCCATGGGATTTGAGCTCGAAGTCCCCAAAGGCGCGCGCCACTGCCAGCCCCGGCTCGCTCTTTCCCGGCAGGAAGATTCTGTCGATGGTGTTCATGTAGTTGAGGACCTTTCCGCCCGCCTCCTGCACCCGCACCTTCTCAGCTGCAGTAAAGGAGGAGGACGATGGGAGAGGTGGGGAGGAGGCGGGTGAGAGAGCGAAAAGGGAGGGAGATTCAGTGGATGGTGTTGAAATGGTTGAGCAGCAGGGTTGGAGGGTGATTTGAGCTCAAAGTCTCCGAAGGCGCGCGCCACTGCCAGCCCCGGCTCACTCTTCCCCGGCAGGAAGATTCTGTCGATGGTGTTCATGTAGTTGAGGACTTTCCCTCCTGCTTCCTGCACTCGTGCCTTCTCAGCTGCGATGGAGTGGTGGGGGGGACAAGATGGGACGGAAGGGGAGGGATGAGAGAAAAGGCAGGTAGATTCTGTCGATGGTGTTCATGTAGTTGAGGACTTTCCCTCCTGCTTCCTGCACCCGCACCTTCTCAGCTGTTGAGGAGGGTGGGAAGATGAGGGGGGGTTAGGGTGGTGGGGAGAGACAAGGAAGATTCTGTCGATGGTGTTGATGCAGTTGCCCGCCTCCTGCACCCGCACCTTCTCCGCTCTGATGGTGGGGAAGGGGGAGAGGCCGATAGATTCGACCGTCAGGGTAATTGACGGGGAGCTGGTGTACATGTAACCGAGCAGCTTCGTTCTGCTCATTCGGGGACTTTCGACTCTCAAATGCCACTCTCCCCCACCTTCCCACCCCTCCTTCCCGCACCACACCCTCCTCCCCTTCCACTCAGCTCACAGCATCTCACCGGGGTTGCTCGCCTTGTGGTCGATGGTCAGCTGAACAGCCTCCATGGTCGCCCTAATGCTCGCTCTCCTCATTGGGGGAATATTGACTCACCTCAGCACAGCATTAACCCTTTCCCGCCTGCCCACCCCTCTTTCCCATACCACACCTTCTCCCCTCCCACTTAGCTCCTTTCTCACCTGGGTTGCTCGCCTTGTGGTCGATGGTCAGCTGAACAGCCTCCATGGTCGCCCCAACACAGACCCTACTACCGTCTCCACTCCCCTCCCCCACACCCTGCTCTCACCTGGGTTGCTCGCCTTGTGGTCGATGGTCAGCTGAACAGCCTCCATGGTCGCCCCAACACAGACCCTACTACCGTCTCCACTCCCCTCCCCCACACCCTGCTCTCACCTGGGTTGCTCGCCTTGTGGTCGATGGTCAGCTGAACAGCCTCCATGGTCGCCCCAACACAGACCCTACTACCGTCTCCACTCCCCTCCCCCACACCCTGCTCTCACCTGGGTTGCTCGCCTTGTGGTCGATGGTCAGCTGAACAGCCTCCATGGTCGCCCCAACACAGACCCTACTACCGTCTCCACTCCCCTCCCCCACACCCTGCTCTCACCTGGGTTGCTCGCCTTGTGGTCGATGGTCAGCTGAACAGCCTCCATGGTCGCCCCAACACAGACCCTACTACCGTCTCCACTCCCCTCCCCCACACCCTGCTCTCACCTGGGTTGCTCGCCTTGTGGTCGATGGTCAGCTGAACAGCCTCCATGGTCGCCCCAACACAGACCCTACTACCGTCTCCACTCCCCTCCCCCACACCCTGCTCTCACCTGGGTTGCTCGCCTTGTGGTCGATGGTCAGCTGAACAGCCTCCATGGTCGCCCCAACACAGACCCTACTACCGTCTCCACTCCCCTCCCCCACACCCTGCTCTCACCTCGGTTGCTCGCCTTGTGGTCGATGGTCAGCTGAACAGCCTCCATGGTCGCCCCAACACAGACCCTACTACCGTCTCCACTCCCCTCCCCCACACCCTGCTCTCACCTGGGTTGCTCGCCTTGTGGTCGATGGTCAGCTGAACAGCCTCCATGGTCGCCCCAACACAGACCCTACTACCGTCTCCACTCCCCTCCCCCACACCCTGCTCTCACCTGGGTTGCTCGCCTTGTGGTCGATGGTCAGCTGAACAGCCTCCATGGTCGCCCCAACACAGACCCTACTACCGTCTCCACTCCCCTCCCCCACACCCTGCTCTCACCTGGGTTGCTCGCCTTGTGGTCGATGGTCAGCTGAACAGCCTCCATTGTCGCCTCGCCGCATCACAGATCATACTCCCCTCGCCCCACACCCTTCCCCCACATCCTGCTCCTCCCCGCCACACCCACATTGTCTCACCTGGGTTGCTCGCCTTGTGGTCGATGGTCAGCTGAACGGCCTCCATTGTCGCTGCATCACTCTTCCCGTTGGGACCCCTGGCAATGCGAGCCAGCACACAGCGGGAATCCCCTATGTGTGCCACTATCAGCTCCGAGCCCTGAAAGACAGAAGGGGCGCGGGGCAAAAAGGGGAGTGCAGTGAGGAAAGGTGATCTCTGGCAGTGCGAGCAAGCACACAGCGGGAATCCCCTATGTGTGCCACTATCACTTTCGATCCCTGAGAGACAGAAGGGAAGGGAAGAAACGGTGGTGTGGTGGCAGTGCGAGCGAGAACACAGCGGGAATCACCTATATGTGCCACTATCAGCTCCGAGCCCTGAGAATGTGAGGCAGGGAGGGGAGGGAAGGGTTGAGGAGGGAAGGGAGGGGAGGGTGAACGGGAGGGACGGGGACAAGGAGGGAATATGCCAAGGACAAGGAGCCCTGGCAGTGCGAGCGAGCGAGCACACAGTGCGAGTCCCCTATGTGCGCCATTACCAGTTCCGATCCTGAAACGCGAGGCACAGTGGGGTGAAGGAGGGAATGCTGTGAGCAAAAAACAGAGCCCTGGCAATGCGAGCGAGCGAGCACACAGCGCGAGTCCCCTACGTGCGCCACTATCAGTTCCAATCCCTGAGTATGTGAGGCGGGGAGGCAAGGGAGGGGAGGGTGTGGCTGTAAAGGGGTAAGGAGCGAATGAGGGGCCATCACTCTTCCCGTTAGGAGCTCTGGCAGTGCAGGCGAGCACACAGCGTGAGTCACGCATGTGTGCCACTATCAGATCCGAGCCTTGAAACAAGGGGCACAGTGGAGTGTGTGTGGGCGGGGTAACGAGGGAATGTGGCCAGGAAACGTGAGTTCCGGCAGTGCAGTGCAGTGCAGTGCAGTGCAGGGCAGTGCGGGCGAGCAGCGCAAGTCTCCTATGTGCGTCGGTATCAGATCCGATCCTTGAAACGTGGAGTGGAGTGGAGTGGAGTGGAGTGGAGTGGAGTGGAGTGGGGTGGGGTGGAGTGGGGTGGAGTGGAGTGGGGTGGAGTGGAGTGGAGTGGAGTGCGTGTGTGACAAGAGAGAGCCCAGATACAAAGCAGCAGAGAGCGAGAAAAAGGTGTCTCACAAGACGTAGGGCAACAATAGCAGTAGACCCACTGTCCCTGTTGTGGAACAGGTCCTTCCTCAGCTCCTCATCAAGGTCCCCAAACACCCCACCGAACATCACCCAAAAAACCCGGCACAGAGAGAGCAGCAGGTAGAGACAGAGAGAGAGATCACTCATGAGTGACGAGCCTGAGAGTGAGAGACGAGAGAATTGACTCACGAGGCGGAGGGCGACGACTGCCGTAGACCCGCTGTCCCTGTTGTGGAACAGGTCCTTCCTCAGCTCCTCATCAATGTCCCCAAGTGCGCCCCCACACACCCGCGCACAGCCACCCAGTGAGGAAAGCAGCAGCAGAACGAGAGGGAGAGAGAGAGAATCCACTCACGAGGCGGAGGGCAACAACGGCAGTAGACCCGCTGTCCCTGTTGTGAAACAGGTCCTTCCTCAGCTCCTCGTCAATGTCCCCAAACACGCCCCCACACACCCCCACATGCTTCACCGAACAAATAGAGCAGCAAAGAGAGAGAAACAGTTGACTCACGAGGCGGAGGGCGACGACTGCCGTAGACCCGCTGTCCCTGTTGTGAAACAGGTCCTTCCTCAGCTCCTCATCAATGCCCCCAAACACGTCCCCAAACACCCGCGCCCACACGTCCCACCCAATGACCAGAGCAGCTGCGACAGAGGCACGACAAACCCACTTACAAGGCGGAGGGCGACAACTGCAGTGGAGCCGCTGTCCCTGTTGTGAAACAGGTCCTTCCTCAACTCCTCGTCAATGTCCCCAAACACCCCGCCAAACACCCGCGCCCACACGTCCCTTGCCGCAGCCCCGTCCACGTGGGCGAGCTCGTTCTGGGTGTGCTGCACGGCTGTGTTGAGTCGCTCTGGCAGCTGGTCGCGAGCTGTCTTGGACACGTAGTGCCCCGACAAGCCGTGCCCGTCAAACACACCCACCAGCGCACTGCCTCTCTCCCCAGTTGTGCTTGTGACTATCAGGTTCTGGGGGTGCGTGGGGGGGCATTGGAAGGGGTGGGACGGAGGAAGGACAACCTGTGCCCGTCAAACACCCCCCACCAGCGCACTGCCTCTCTCCCCAGTTGTGCTTGTGACTATCAGGTTCTGGGGGTGCGTGGGGGGGCATGGGAAGGGGTGGGACGGAGGAAGGACAACCTGTGCCCGTCAAACACGCCCACCAGCGCACTGCCTCTCTCCCCAGTTGTGCTTGTGACTATCAGGTTCTGTGGGTGCGTGGAGGGGCATGGGAAGGGGTGGGACGGAGGAAGGACAACCTGTGCCCGTCAAACACGCCCACCAGCGCACTGCCTCTCTCCCCAGTTGTGCTTGTGACTATCAGGTTCTGTGGGTGCGTGGAGGGGCATGGGAAGGGGTGGGACGGAGGAAGGCCAACCTGTGCCCGTCAAACACGCCCACCAGCGCACTGCCTCTCTCCCCAGTTGTGCTTGTGACTATCAGGTTCTGGGGGTGCGTGGGGGGGCATGGGAAGGGGTGGGACGGAGGAAGGACAACCTGTGCCCGTCAAACACGCCCACCAGCGCACTGCCTCTCTCCCCAGTTGTGCTTGTGACTATCAGGTTCTGTGGGTGCGTGGAGGGGCATGGGAAGGGGTGGGACGGAGGAAGGCCAACCTGTGCCCGTCAAACACGCCCACCAGCGCACTGCCTCTCTTCCCAGTTGTGCTTGTGACTATCAGGTTCTGGGGGTGCGTGGGGGGGCATGGGAAGGGGTGGGACGGAGGAAGGACAACCTGTGCCCGTCAAACACCCCCACCAGCGCACTGCCTCTCTCCCCAGTTGTGCTTGTGACTATCAGGTTCTGTGGTTGGGGTGAGGAGGAATGGGAGGGAGGTAGTGGCAGGTGAGGGTATGGGAGGGTGGGAGGATGAGAAGTGAGGAGCACCGGATGGGGGGGGAATAAGAAGTGGGGTTGATAGTGGCGTTCTCGGGTTGACGTGGCCGAATAAGCCATGCCTGTCAAACACCCCCAGCAGCGCACTGCCTCCCTCCCCTGATGTGCTTGTGACTATCAGGTTCTGTGGTTGGGTGGGGGTAGAGGAGCGCGAGAGGATGGGGGGGAAAGAGAGGCAGGGCGGGGAGGAAGGAGAGGTGGGGTTGAGGGTGGTGGCTCTGGTGGGTGGTCGACTTCTCTTGGGGAGCAAAAACGGTCAAAAGAACTGCCTTGGAGACGTGTGCCATGTGGGTCGCCCGACAGATCATGCCATTTTGTTTGAGGTTGATTTTTAGAATTCTCAAAATCAACCTCAAACAAAAAAGAACTGCCTTGGAGACGTGTGGCCCGACAGGTCGTGCCTGTCAAACTAGCGCATTCCCCCACCAGCGCATTCCCTCTCCCACTCTCCGCAACTGTGTCTCACAGGATGAGATTACGCGGTTGAGTGGACGGGTGGGAGCGGGGTAGGATGGGGGATGGGGGGGTGGATGGAATCTGGGATGGGGGTTGGGGAGAGGAGGGGTTGAGGGTGGTGGGTGGGACTGATAGGTGTCCATCCACTGGTGTGGGGACGAGCAAACACGGCCGAGTGAATGAGCTGCATGGGAGGCGTAGTGGCTGGACAGCCCGTGCCCGTCAACCACCCCCACCCCACCAGCGTAGCGCACTCCCACTCCCCACCTTTGTGCTTATCATTAGGGACAGAGGCACGGAACTCCTTAGGAAAACAAAATCGCTGGTCTCACTTCCGATACATTGGAGTCACTTCTGCGGATTCCCAAAAGAGAATCACTAGCACGGAATTCTAACATGCGCCACACTTGAGCCTCGGGTTAAGGCGAAACGCAAAGGACTAAGAAGCGGAAAAACACTTGAAGGACTATTTGTGTTGTACAACAGCACACGTGGATCCTGGCAAAGCAGTACGGGACAACACTCACACTTCTGTCTTTCATCACCTCTGGCAAGGTCTGGACTGAGTCTTGACATACACCATCCAATTCACGCAGTTGCGGGTCAACACTCAAACCTCTGACTTTCCTCACCTCTGTGGCAAGTGTTGAGTCTTGACACTGAGGTGAGAGGGTTGGGCAAACATCACTGAGTTCTTGGTCGATCCTGGCAAAGAAGTACGGGACAACACTCACACTTCTGTCTTTCCTCACCTCTGGCAAGGTCTGGGTCGAGTCTTAGACGTTCGCCCTTTGAATAACGCAGTTGCGGGACAACAGTCACACTTCTGTCTCTCCTCACCTCTGGCAAGGGCTGGGCCGAGTCTTGACATACACCATCCAATTTACGCAGTTGCGGGTCAACACTCAAACCTCTGACTTTCCTCACCTCTGTGGCAAGTGCTGAGTCTTGACATACACCCTTGAGGCCGGGCTGCACAAAGATCACCGAGTTCTTGGTGGATCCTGGCAAAGAAGTACGGGATAACACTCACACTTCTGGATCTCCTCACCTCTGTGGCAAGGGCCGAGTATTGACATACGCCCTTGAGGCCGGGCTGCACAAAGATCACCGAGTTCTTGGTGGATCCTGGCAAAGAAGTACGGGATAACACTCACACTTCTGGATCTCCTCACCTCTGTGGCAAGGGCCGAGTCTTGACATACGCCCTTGAGGCCGGGCTGCACAAAGATCACCGAGTTCTTGGTGGACCCTGGCGAAGGCATTGCGGGGGAGAAAAAAACGAGTAGAATGAGATGGATTTAGCTTCAGCTGGAGCTGATACTTCGAGCCCGGACGGGCACAGGACCAAAAAGAAAAAAGAGACACAATTTTGAGAAAGAGACAACAGCTTTGAAGTAATCGTTCGCGTCAGACTGAAACGGGATCGATTCTTGCCATCATTCTTAACCGTCAAATGCTTGTCAAATAGTTACGAGCGGAGTAACAGAAGCCTCACCTACGTCTTTGTTGATAACCCCGTCTTTAGATGATCCGTTTCCCATATTGAACCGAGTATCGTCAGCTCTGAAGCGTGGGACGAATAAAACTGTACTCCAGCAACGACTGCTGAGGGGGGTGCTTCTTGCAGACTACTGCTCGCTAGTAACGACGGCTGACAGGGTAGTTCGCTATAATTACAGGTCAAAAACAGCTGCTATTCTTTTGACAAAAGCTGGAACGTAACACTGCCCAGATGGCTGCAAAGCCTCTCGGAAAATGAATACTGGGCTGATACGCTCGGCAGAATGTTGTGTCAGGGATGGCTGGGTGAGAAAGGACACAGTTGTAAAAAAAAATAAAAAAAGGTTTTATGGAGAAAGGACGAGTGAGCTGAGGAAACAATTACTACAAAAGCCGTGCAGACAAAACCGAACTCGAAGGTATCAATAAGGTAGTTGACATGCCACGCATGTCGGAAGCAGGTACAGCGCGTATTCCAGCAAAGAATAAGTATTTGCAAGAATTCATTGACTAGGACATCAAATAGTCCTTCAATGCGCTTGCGAAAAAAAGTACTGGAAACTGCTTACGTTTTCGCACTCAGCGATTAGAGGTAGTAACAGCTTAGTGATTCTTCAGGTAGTAACGGAATCGTGCAGAAGCGTCGGAGAGAAACGTCTGTGATCTGAATTCACACCCCGGTGCGCGTAGGCCTTCAATAGTTACCTAGGATGTTCGGATCATCAATCTTGTACCTAGGAAACTCCGCTACTTCCCATGAGCTCAAATTTCATCCCTGTTGTCTCGGCAAAGTCAAGGTCGTTTCCGTCGCACAGCGTCGCAGGGAGAGTCTCAGGTAGTCGCGCATTCGGTCCCTCCCTGCATTCTTTCTGCTTGAAGGCATCGTCGTCAGGCAGCCAGTTTTTGCGGTCGCAGAACCCAAGCGACGTCCCCCTTCGTCGAACCTGGGTCAAATGACCAGTCCGCTTCCGTGCCGTGCCCTTTCAGATTCTCTCTGCGACGTTGACGATGCCAAGTCAGCGTGCGGTGTGCTTGACTTCTGTGACTGACGAATGTGAACAGCCGGTTAGCGAACGCGCATATCCTTCGCCGAACAACTCCGCCAGTTTATTGGCAGCTGATATTCGCACAAACGCGCCTGATTGGTTAGCCGTCACCTTTCCACAACAGCTGGGAACCCCATATACGCCTACCTTGAATTTAAGACAACTAGCTTTGAAATGTAGCCCATGCTAATAATAGTGCTTGATTCTTAGGCTGCCACCTCAGCCACTAACATACCCTATACATATTAGGAGCACACATATCATCGTAACAGATGCAAACTTATTGTGTATGGCATGCTTTGATCACAACCTTTTGACGTGCATAACTTTCTACAAGGCTATAACATAGCATGATGAAAAAGGTGGTTTCACAATGAAACAATGCCAATTGAACCTGGGTACGATGCCGTATGTCAATTCCGCGCGAGCAGAGGGGTTTGGGGGGATTACGCACCACCACTGTCGTCACCGCCATCACCACCATCACCACCACCATCACCACCATCACCACCAGTAGCGCCTACACTACTACCACTGCTGCTGCAAGCTTCACCGCCGCTGCTGCCAGCGTCAGCACTGCTGCTGCCACTCTTTACCCCCGCTCCACACCCGGCAACATCATCGCAGGCATGGATGGAACTGCCGCAGCACAGCCCCACAGTCGAGGCTGAGAGGAGGCACCACCAAGTCCTCGTGCACAAATGCCACCTCGATGCATGGTACATAGCGGGTTGGCCTTGGGGTTGGGGTTGGGATCACTTATGCACCATCATCCCCTCCCCCTTCCCCTCCCCCTTCCGCTTCCCCTCCCCCTTCCGCTTCCCCTCCCCCTTCCGCTTCCTCTCCCCCTTCCGCTTCCCCTCCCCCTTCCCCTTCCCTTTCTCCTCCCTCTCCTCCTCCCGCTCCCCCTCCCCCTCCCCCTCCCCCTCCCCCTCCCCCTCCCCCTCCCCCTCCCCCTCCCCCTCCCCCTCCCCCTCCCCCTCCCCCTCCCCCTCCCCCTCCCCCTCCCCCTCCCTCTCCCCCTCCCCCTCCCCCTCCCCCTCCCCCTCCCCCACCTCCTCCCCCTCCCGCTGCCCATCCCCCCCCTCCTCCAGGCAGCCACTGCGCAACATAGTCCGAAACCTGAGACCGCCGCAGCACACCCGCACAGTCAAGGCTCAAGGGCGGAACCACCAGGTCTTCATGTATAAACGCCACCTCGATGCACGGGTAGCACAGCGGGTTGGGCTCCACATGGAACATGCGGTACCCCATGCCCTCCATGGCGTACAAGTAGGGAAGGGACTGTTGGGGTTTGTGCATGCTGGAAGAGGGGAGGGAGGTGGGGGGGGAGAAGGGGGGAGGGAGGACAGCGGGTTGGGCTCCACATGGAACATGCGGTTCCCCATGCCCTCCATGGCGTACAAGTAAGGGAGGGAGTGCTGGGGCTTGTGCTGCTGTAGCATTGGGGACAGAGTCACAGAGGGGATGGGGGAAAGCAGGGGAGGGGGTCAGCACGGGTAGCACAGCGGGTTGGGCTCCACATAGAACATGCGGTACCCCATGCCTTCCATCGCATACAGGTAGGGCAGGAAGTGCAGGGGCTTGTGCATGGTGGGTTGAGTAAGGGAGGAAGGGCGGGAGATGGGGGAGAGAGAGTGTGTGAGCGAGGGCGGTAGACTGGGAAGGCGGTTCCATCGATGCACAAGTAGCACAGCGGGTGGGGCTCCACGTGAAACATGTGGTACCCCATGCCCTCCAAGGCGTAGAGACGGGGGCTTGTGCATCCTGTGGTAAGGGGAGGAAGGGGAGGGGGGAGGGGGAAAAGGGGGATGTGGTGGGTTGGGCTCCACGTGCAACATGCGGTACCCCATACCCTCCATGGCGTGGAGATATGGGAGGGAGTGCTGGGGCTTGTGCATGCTGTTGTGTGGGGGAAAAGGGGTGGCAGTGGCACCAGGGAGGGGAACATGGGAGGGAGAGACTGTGAGGGGAGCACAGCAGGTTGGGCTCCACATGAAACATGCGGTACCCCATTCCTTCCATGGCGTAGAGATATGGGAGGGATTGCTGGGGCTTGTGCATGCTGTGGTAATGAGGAAAAGAGGGGGCAGGGGATGGGAGGGAGGAACTAAAGCAAGAACGGGGTTGTGTGAGAAGCAGGCTTGAGATCAAACATGCATTTCCCTTCCCCCCAGTCACCACCACCTTTGCATCCCTTCCAGGAGTGTGTGAACACAAGATTTTACAGAGACTCACGTGTGAAACTCCACCAGCAGTTGCCCAAACAGCAGGTTCCCCCCATTTATCACCAGCTTCGCATCTCTTATGAGTGTGTGAAAAGTGAACACAATAGGTTAGACCAACTCACTAAAGAAACACTCACGTGTGAAACTCCACAAGAAGCTGTCCAAACAGCAGATTCCCCCCATTTATCACCAGCTTCGCATCCCCCCTCCCCCTCCTCTTCCCCTCCTTCTCCTCCTCAGTCAACGCCCCTCCCTCCTTCCTCCGCCTCTCCACAAATTCCTCAGTCTCCCTCTTCATCCCCATAATAAACTCCTCCTCACACCCCTCACAGTCCATTTTCAGCACATCCACATACTCATGCCCTAGTTTCTTCATCGCCTCTTGCAGAGTCATAAAGGTGATCCCGGGGTTTTCGTCTCGGAATTTTTCGAGGCTTGATGCGCCGGCGATGGCTATTTCGTTGAAGTGGAGGAAGGGGAGGGCGTGCATGTGAGCAGTGGCGTTGGCGGAGAGGAATGGGTCGAAGGTGAATGGCTTGGTGTGCAGCGCCGCGCCCATGGCCTGCTCAAAGTCGTACTGCTCGTTGCTACCCACACTGGGAGAGGGAGGGGAGAGGGGGGGGGGGCGGAGGAGGGGAGCAGAGTGGAGTTGAGGGTGTGGAGAGGACCTGTGGGACGCCTCAAGAGGAGAGCAGCGGCAATAGCCTTCTCAAGGTCGTACTGCTCCTTGCTGCCCACACTGGGAGGAAAGGGGGGAAGCGGGGGAGGGGAGCAGAGTGGAGTTGAGGGTGTGGAGTGGACATGTGGGACGCCTCAAGAGGAGAGCAGCGGCAATAGCCTTCTCAAAGTCGTACTGCTCCTTGCTGCCCACACTGGGAGGTGGGGAGATGGGGGAAGGCTAATGGCTCTGGCATGGTTTATGGCTCTGGCATGGCTGATGGCTCTGGCATGGCTGATGGCTCTGGCATGGCTGATGGCTCTGGCATGGCTGATGGCTCTGGCATGGCTGATGGCTTTGGCATGGCTGATGGCTCTGGCATGGTAAATGATTATGGCATGGGCTAATAATTATGGCTTGTGATGTGATCCTGGCATGGCGATTACCCGTCTCAGATACCCAATGCCATGGCATGGCGATGACCCATGTCTCAGATACCCAATGCCATACCTGAACACAGCATTGTTGTGTGGAATACTGGCGTGTCATACCTGCACATGGGATAACGAGCGCACCTAACCTGTACTGAGTTGACTCGAAAGTCAACAGGGTTGTGTGGAATACTGGCGTGCCATACCTGCACATGGGATAACGAGCGCACCTAGCCTGTCCTGCACTACACACGCCAGAGATTGTTGGTTGAGGTGGCTTTTCAGTTGGAGCAGGGTTCGGAGGCAACACTCCACACAGCTTACCTGATTTTTGAGGCGCCTCAAAAATAGTTGGAGCAGGCAGGGTTTTGAGGCAACACTCCACACAGCGTACCTGTACACTACAGGGTTATCTCGGATCGCAGTTGGAGGCATGCATACCCACTGAAGCGGAATTCAAGGAGAGGGAGAGGCAGGGGAGGAGAGAGAAGGGAGAGGGGAGGGAGGATTTTAGTTGGCAGTATGCATACAGCATACATACTGCAGTGGATAGAAAGGTGAGGGAGAGGCAGGGGAGGAGAGAGGAGGGCGAGGGGGGAGGATATTTGTTGGCAGTATGCATACAGCATACATACTGCAGTGGAAAGCAAGGTGAGGGAGAGGCAGGATGGGAGAGAGGAGGGAGAGAGGGGAGGGGGTTAGTAGTTGGCAGCATGCACACCCACTGCAGTGGATAGTAAGGTGAGGGAGAGGCAGGGGAGGAGAGGAGGGAGAGAGGAAGGGGGTTAGTTGGCATGGCAGCATGCATACACACAGTAAGGTGAGGGAGAGGAAGGGGGAGAGAGGGAGAGGGTTGGATGGCAGCAGGCACACCCACTGCAGTGGAGATCAATTCAAAGTTAGGGGTGAGAAGCGGGGGCGAGGGATGGGGCTGCGAACGCTTCAGTGAGGTTCAGTGAGGTTCAGTGAGGTTCAGTGAGGTTCAGTGAGGTAAGGGGACGAAACGATCATCTCTGCGTTAACCAGTTAACCCTCCCTAAACTTCTTACACTCCCTGCATCGCCATCCCCTACCCATCCCCCTAGCTCCTCTCCTCCCCCTCATCCCCATCGCCCAACCTCCTCAACTTCCCATCCCCCCATGCGGCCCGCTCTCTCTCTGCCGGGCAAGGGTAAGTGGGCATGAGCACAGGCAGCAGCAGAGACGGGTAGGCAAGATAACCCCAACATGGACCTCCCCTTTCCCGCTGCTCACCTTCCCGCCATCCCCCCACGCGAACACTCGCTCCTCTGCGGGGCATGGTTAAGTGGGCATGAGCACTGAAAGACCGGCGGTGGAGACAGCAGAGGGGGGTAGGGAGTAACCGAAAGAACCCAATCAATCCCTCCCCGGACTACCCTTACCTTCCCGCCATCCCCCCACGCGCCCACTCGCTCCTCTGCGGGGCAAGGGTAAGTGGGCATGAGCACAGACAGCAGCAGCTGCGGCAGGTCATATGCGTCCATGGGCCACTGATCCCCGTTATGAGCTGCTTTTCTACGCTCTATATCAGCCTGTAAGGAGGTGCGGAGGGGAGCAAAGAGAAAATTGGCGGGGGGAGGGAGGGATGGGGGATGGGAACAGCAAAGCAGAGACGGCAGGTCGTGTGCGTGCATGGGCCACTGATCCCCGTTATGAGCTGCCTTCCTTCTATCTATGTCAGCCTGGGGGTAGGTGGGAGGGGAGGGGCGGGAGGAGGGGGGGAAGGGGGGGGGGGAGGGGGGAGAGAGGGAGGCAGGGGAAATGGACAGCAGCAGCGAGTGCAGGTCGTGTGCGTCCATGGGCCACTGGTCCACGTTATGAGCTGCCTCCCTACGCTCTATATCAGCCTGGGGAGACGGGAGGGCACGTGGGGGCGAGGGGAGGGAGGGGAACGGAGGGAGAAAGGTGGGGAAAGGGAGTCGGGAAGAGTAAAAAGGGTTGGAGGGGAGGGGAGGGGTGGGGAGGGGTGGGGGAATGGGGAGCAGCAAAGTACAGATGGCAGGTAGCATTGCATGCATCCACGGATCACTGATCCCCGTTATGAGCTGCCTCACGTCTCGCTATACTGGCCTGCGCGATAAGAGGGAAACATGAGGGGGAGCAATGGGTGAGGAAAGGGGTTCGGGGGAAGAGGGGGGGGAGGAGAAGGAGAGGGAGGAAGAGGGGGGGGAGGAGAAGGAGAGGGAGGAAGAGGGGGGGGGAGTGTATAGGGGGGTTGTGGAGGATCGAGAGCAGCAGAGACTGCAAGACATAAACATGCGCCGAGGGAAACTAATCCCCGTTATAAGCCCCTTCCCTACGGTCCATGCTTGGCTGGGGAAGACGGGAAAGGGGGAGAAATGCTTTTGAGTCAGAAAAGCCACAAGCTTGCGACGCTTTTTTATTCCCAGTGTTTATTTCAGTTTTGTTTCAAATGTGTTTTGGTTGAACACTGCAATTGGCTGCATTGCGCCTGTGCGACCTTCTAATGCGTCCTTCTATAACGAGTGTAACATTCGATGCAACTGATCCTTACCCAATAAGCAGCCTCGGCTCGGCATAGCGACCATGCAATGTTGACCCCTTTAATGACGCCGGCTTCTAACGAGGATGCAGCGAAGGAGGATGCAAAGGCAGCAGAATCGCCCGATCGTCGAGTCGCGTCAAAGCTCAATGCGGACGTGCCGTCAGTAACGGCATCGGAAGCGGCAACGTCGGTCGACAGAGCTTCGATTGGCTGGAATATTAGCAGCAGCGGTACGCCGAGCACGAGAATGGCGAATGCGACGACTACATACGGCTTTAATCTCTCGAATAGCTTCTCGTTTTGGTGCCATAAGTCGGAGGACGAGCCGCGGACGACGATATACGACATGGCGGTCCGTGGCTTCACGAAATGAGACTTGCTGACGGAAAGCTATGAATTTGAGAGATAGAAGGGCGGATTACGAGTAACAAAAACGGTGGCCGGCAAACGGACAGCTGCTCAGGAGAAGCCTTTGAACAGATACGGATCGCCTGACTCGTCGGAGAAGCGGTACGACATTCTGATGGTCTAGACCGCAAGGATAGATTACGCGATATTGTGGTCTATACTACTAATGCCACCGAGTACTGAAAAGAGAAACGAAAGCCATGGCGAGGTGCGTGTGGAGCGGCGGAACGATGCGGCGCACAGAAAATAAGGACCACTATCAGTGGCCCTCAGTGTTCTTGTCTTGACAGTCAACAGTCGCGAATTCTCTGACTGGACCGGTAAGGACCCAGTTCGTATGGCGACAAAGAGAGAGAATTACTGTAGAACCATGTTTGGTGATTCCTTCTTACTCGCGTGGCCTCGAATTACTCGAGTGGCCACCAAAATTGATGATAATTACTCGAGTGGCCACGCCAGGGGATTCCCCGCACGCTTTTTTTCCCGGCGCATTAGCCTACGGGGGTTTGTAGCCCCGAAAGTTTTGCAATGATTATTGCGCGAGTTTCATTATCCGAAATTTATGTTCGTGACATTATATGACCGCGCCTGATTGGACGCGCATTGTCAAAAAAGGCACCACGCATATAATTGACCAATCATGCGCGGTCATTAAATCCCGCGCATTGACGCCTGGGCATTGCAGTTTATGATCGAGGAAATATATGATCGGGCATTAATATATGATGCTCGCGACCATTAATGGCCGCGCTTGATTGGTCGATTATATGCGCGTCCAGTCAGGCGCGGTCATATAGGGTCACAAACATAAAATTCGGCAACGTTCACCGCCAGCAGCAGAAACGGAGGTACAAGCAACAGCTATACAAAAGCAGTTTGAGATTCACTAATCAATGTTGTGACTGTACAAGGAGCAACCTCTATAACATCGAATGTCAATGGCCCGGCTCCAGTAGAAACTATATATAGCTATGGCTGTACGGTGGAGGTGACATGGGATAGGAGGGCTAAAAACGTTAGGAGAGGAGACGTAGCGATATATATATATTATGCACAGGCAAGTCATATGTGAAAGCCAGGAGCGGTTACAGTAGATGCAGGAATGGTCGCAGCAGGAGCAAGTGGACATTTGGGTCGACTCAAAAGCCAACTCGGAGTTTCCTGGGAATTCTCCTAGCCTTCCGTCTTATGTATTGGCAAGCCCCAGGTGAAACCCTTGTACTAATGCAGGACCAGTCGCAGCAAGAGCTAGTTGACTTCTGAGTCGACTCAAAAGTAACTCGATTTTCTTCTGGGAATTCTTCTCGCCTTCCGTCTCGACGTATTGGCAAGCCCCAGGTGAAACCCTTGAACGATTTTATTAAATGCAGGATCAGCCGCAGCAGGAACAGCACGGGCGGGGGTGCCGAAAGCAGGAGCAGCAGGAGTGGGAGTGCCAAACGCAGGAGCAGAAGCAGGAGATGGAGTGGCAAAACCAGGAGCAGCAGGAGCGGCACGAGCAAGCGAAAACAGAGACCCTGAGTCACTTTTCTTTGACACTGGAGCAGAGAGATGCACATGACCGCTCCTAAAAGGACCAGCCGCTGCTGCAGCAGGAGCGGAAGTACGAGGAGCGCCGAAAACAGGTGGACGAGCAGCAGGAGTGGGAGTTGAAGCACCAATAAGCGGGGCGCCGAAGACAGGAGCAGCAGTTGCAGTAGGAGCGGCACGAAGAGGAGTGCCGAAGACAGGAGGACGAGCAGCAAGAGTGAAAGTTGAAGCACCAAAAATTGGAGCAGGAGCAGGAGAAGCCGAAGCAGGAGCACCAAAGACAGGAGCAGCAGCTGCAGAGGCGGGAGCGGGGGCGGTGGCAGATTTAGGAGGAGGAGCAGAGGCGGGAGAGGGAGCAGAGGCAGGAAAGGGAGCAGAGGCAAAATAGGGAGCAGTTGCGGGAGGGAAGGCGGAGGCAGGAGCAGTGGCGGGAGTGGGAGCGGTGGCAGAGTCAGGAGGTAGTGGTAGGTGAGACGACTCTAAAGCAGAGGTGGATGAGGAAGCAGAAGTGGTAGAAGGAGCAGAGGCAGGAGCAGCGGCGGTAGATGAGGCAGCGGCGGGAGGGAGAGCGGTGGCAGCATCAGAAGGTGGAGGTAGATGAGTCGATTCGGAGGAGGCAGGTAAGGGAGGAGCTGCAGCAGCTGGTGCTGTTGTTGCTGCTGGTGCTGCTGCTGTAGCTGCTTCTGCTGCTGCTACTGCTGGTGCTGCTGGGGCTGCTGCTTCAGAGGAGGAGAGGGGTTGAATCAGCTCAGGAGGGGTGCTGACGCCGACAGAAACGCTGGCGCCGTGGGTAGCAGTACCACAGCTGACGTGAAATTTTGCGCTGACTGAGTCTGTCAAACTGACGGAATCAGTCACCCCGTCGCTGTCATACACTCTCACTGTCAGCGGGTTCTGCTTCTGGAGAACAAACGCGTCATAAAGCTCCTCGCTAGTGGAAAGAGTCAGCACGTCTCCATCCGTGTCAGTGCATCTGAGCCGGAGGCGCTGCTCGGCGGGGATTCTGAAGTGCTTGCGGATTCGAAGGTCGACCAGGTCGAATGGCGGAGGGACGCAGTCGAGAAACGCGATGCGACGAATAGTACTAGGTTCGCCGAGATAGGCCTGCAATTTGGGGAAACGAGGGGGGATTTGGGGGAATATGGAAAGGGGTGGAAAGGTGGGGAGAGCGGTGAGAGAGGGGGTTGTGGGGGAGAGGGGAAAAGAGGGGAATTGGAGAAAGAAGGTGGAGAGAGGTTGGGAGGAAGGAGGGAGAGGGAGGAGGGAGGTCAGACGGCGGAGAAAAGCAAGGAGGCCAGAGGCGGCGTAGAACACGGTGGAGCTAGATCTGAGTTTCGACTGAAGGATAATAACTGAAAGGAAGGGAGGGAGAAAAGGAGGCCTGGGAGGGCCCTTCTAGTCCTCAGAGGCGATCCGAGTTGGAAACTATCCGCGGGCGAGGAGGGACTTCCGCCATTTACACGATCTTAACAAGTCCGCCATAAACTTGAATCGACTCAAGAAGTATGCGCGGGCGAGGAAGTCAACTAACCGACCGGCGAAACCTTTTTATGTGCTACTTGTTTGCGTGCTAACACACAAAGTACAAGCTCTTGGTGATATCATGATAATAAAGGCGGAAGAATTGATGTCCTTTTTCGCGATTGTGTCAATCGCGCGCTCGCACTAGAGAACGCGGCAATGATTTAGGAAAACTAATCATGCAGCCGCACTTGCTCACCTTGATTACAAAGGGCGTGCGACACATGGTGAAATTACAGCCGCACGGTCGACAGGAACATGATGGGAGAACGTCCGCCATGGATTGGCAACTCGGAAACGCGTCGACGGTCATAGCTAATAGTAGAGGTCAGGTGGGATTGACAGTCACAACGAAAGACTGAGTTGGAAACCGTAAAATTAACAAGGTTGCTTGATAAAGATTGCGTGACACCTAGCGTAACGGAGGAGGCTCAGATGCTAGAACGGAGATGCGACGATGACGAGCGTGGGACAGGCGTGCACGCTGATGCTCAACCTCCAGCTTATAACTTTTGCTTTGAGAGTCTCAAGCGCCGCTTTTGACGGCCTTTCAAAAGTAAACGCTGGGCTTCCTTGAGGTGTACGAAAGTTCATTGTCACAACGAGAACCAGACCTATGAACCGAAATCTTCGCATTCCACCACTAATTAACTAACTAGGCTGGGCTAAAAACCGCGGACCAAAATCTTCGCAGAAATATATAATGGGGTAGCAGCAGCCAGTTCAGCCAAACGAAACAGCAGGTTTGGCCAGACGCAATTCGAGCCGCGGATAGCTGTTGAGTCATTAGCAGCAGAAACCCATCTCAACCGATTCTAAAAACTACAAACAAACACCCAACCACGTAGTTGCCCAACCTAACCCACACGTCAATTAGGCCCGCCCGTCCTCCAAACCTCAAACTTTCTCTGCACACAAATCAAGTCGCGCTCGGCTTTGCGCGCGACATTCTGAACGATTCGTCGGTTTGAAGTTTTCGCGTCGCAAGCGTGTTACAGACATCTATTGTTACCCAAAAAGGACGAGTTAAGTATTGATTCAAGGGGAATTAACCGAGGGTTGTTTTCCAATCAAATGATGACTAGCGAGCTAACATCTTGGCTGAAACATGTGAGATCATATTTGCCCATCACAATACACAGATGGAGCCAAGTGACAACACGCGTGGCTGCCACGCATACTATTTTCAATCCATATTCAGCCTTTCCTTGCTAGTTCAGCCGCCTTTTTCTCCCTGTATCTCATACCCAGGCTAGATTATTAGCCTATTTAGTGATGGAATGAGTCTAAATGTGCAATTTGTGCTACCGGTACGTAAGTCTGTGAAACCAGCTGCCTCAAAACCAGTCTTGGGACCTTTGACGCACATAGTTGTGAAGAATCAAAATTGGAGCGTGATTGGAGATGGAGGGGTGCATCTAACCTAAATGTCGTAACACCTGAATTCTACGAGCTAGGTTTAGAGACAGGGTAACTAGGAAAGCATGAGGGACGTAAACGTGGGCTAACGAGAAAGAGAAAGGAACGAGTCAATAGGCTGGGTGGGAGAACATAGACTCGGAACAATGTATGGAAGAGCAGGCGCGCGCAACATACAGGAGGAGAGACAGAATACGGGGGGAAACGGAGAGGGGAAAACAGAGGGGGGGAACGGAAAGGGGGGTGCGGGGAGGGCTTGACAGAGAAAGGCGAAAGAGGAGGTGTACCGTAAGGGGGGGGGCGGAGAGGGAAAGAGGGAGAGGGGTAGACGGAGGGGGGAAAGCGGGGGAATGAAGAGGGGTGACGTAGACGGGGAGATGAAACAGGGGAGATTGAGAGGGAAAGGACTAGGATGATGGAGAGAGGCCGAAGGTGGAGGAGAGAACAAGAATACATACATGACGAGTTAGAGAGAGGGGAAAAGCAGGGTGTGGGTGGACGAGGCGGGGCAGGTGATACCAGAGAAAGGAGGATTCGGAGGAAGATAACGGCAGGCGACAAGACCAAAAGAAAAAGTGGACTATGATCTGTTTGAGAGAAAGGGTTCAAGTTGGTGCCAGTTGTCCTTTGGATGCCATTGTCACAATGTGTCGAGTAGTTTATCGCATCAAACGGAGTTGGCCAACGAACGTAACGATTTTGAGTTACAGCAATGTTAACGAGAACAAGGTACTTCATTAAAAAAATGCGAAGAGCAGAACAAAAAATGCTTCTTATTTTTCTCGAACAATCTATTTACGTCACCAGCTGGAGGCTGAGCAGCTCCTCTTCGGGAATGACGCGGATTTTACAGTCGGACTTCGGGTACGACGCGCACATGAGCGCGTAGCCCTGCTCCATGACGTCATCGCTCAGCATGCCTTCTGATTGGTCCACCTCACCCGAGATCAGCTTCGCAGGACACGTCATGCACACGCCGAGCTTGCAGTCGTGAGGGAGATCCAGACCAGCGTCAATCGCGGCGGAAAGAATGGTCTCATCCTCGGGAATCTCGAGAATGTGTGTTTTTCCCTGATGCTCGACCTCCACCTTATGTGCGTGCACAACAAACCGCCTTCTCCCGCCGTTTGAAGCGCTGAGAGCGTTGGACCGGATCGGCCCGCTGAGGACGCGTGGACAGGCGACGAAGTTGGATTTCAGAACTGTGGAGGAGACGAGTCCCGCGACCGGAGTCACGGTCATGTGCAGCCGGCACGCAGCCATGGCGAACGACTATGGATTGCTTCACGGAACGAGAATCCAGGGACGGAGAGCAATCCACTAAGTTACAATCGTAGGAAGTGCGAGAAAAAAAGGTGAGTGAATTCAACAAAAGTGGAAGCGGTTGAGGACTCCAGTAACTAGGAGGTCCAGAGTCAGGACATATGCGATGAACGGCATCGCAACATTCTGGGATTGGGTAATCCATGGCAAGGTTCAAGGGGCTGCCAGGGAAGGGCCACGTCATCAGTGGAAAGCCGAGTGGTGTAGCCTCTGCTGGCAGGAACGCAATCCAATTTTACGACGTGGCGCACTCGAGCCACCAATGGGAGGCCAAAGGTTTCCGCAAAAGCGCACCACGAAACTTGAGGTGATATATGCTGCTGCGACACTCCCAGAGAACAGATTGTAATTGTAGTAATAACAGACAGCAATCTATAACAGATTAACCTCTTATCTTTACATGTGGATTGGATGCATATGGTAATTTGCATTTCTTTGCAGCTGAGAATTATGTGAACGAAAGGTGAATCATAGATGAGGGTTAACAACTTATAAAAGCGTTTGTTTACACAATGTACCACCACCCTTATGCAGTAACTCCCTTGGAAGCCAGGAATTCAGCCATCTGTGCCTGTCTCTTCTCAGCCAGTGCAGGGAGGAACTTCTTCCTGCCAGGTACAACCTCGAGTGTGCAACCAGCAGCCTCAAGCTTTTCCCGGGCAGCTTCGCTGAAAGAAGCCGCCTTGATGGTCACCTTGGTGGAGATCTCGCCATCACCCAAGATCTGAAGGGAAAAAAGACGGAAGGTAAGAGATGAGGGAAATAAGAGTGAGGGTAAGAGATGAGGGTAAAAAGAGGGAAGGCAAGGGATAAGAGGGGCGAAAGAGGAAAGACCAGTGATGAGAGGAGAAAAGCTAGACATCCATTTCCTCCAGAATTCAGATCCCCCAATCCCACATTCTTGGCCAGCGATGGTGGAACAGAAAGGGTCCACCACCACATGCTTAGGCAGCAGCAACGCATCCGTTCCACCATGCCCAAACATCCCCCACAACCCCATACCCACAGAATCGGCCCCCCAAGTCCTCCATCTTTCATAATACCAGTCTCTGCCTTTAAGGAGAGCCTGTGCCTGGTTCACAACCAGACAGGGTTAGTTAGACCTCCATCCTGGCAAAGAACCGTGTTTAGAGTCGCCCCAAAACACGTCTCTTCCTTCAATGAGAGCCTGTGCCCGGTTCGCAGTCAGACAGGTTCAGGATTCCATCCCTGACAATGTACTTCACAGAAACCTCCTCGCCCTCCTCCAGCCCCATCTCCTGTCAATCCCCCACAGTCAGCAAAAGTCAACAGTAGTCAACGCGAGTCAACGCACCTTGAGTGGCAGCCGGCGGTCGCGGCCAGAGGGGTTGAGAATGCCATCCTCAACAAGGCTCTCCAGAGACACCTCCTCGCCCTCCTCCAGCCCCATCTCCTCCAAATCCCCCACGTTCAGCGTCACATACTTGGGCAGACCCGCGCCCATGCCCCCCGCAATGCCCTTCAGCTTCGGCAGACGCCTGTACAGGGGCATCTGCCCACCCTCGAACCCGTGCCTCACGCCCGGCCCGGACCTGGACTTCTGCCCGCGCATGCCGAACCCGCAGCTGGCGCCCTGGCCTGCCGCGTGCCCGCGCCCCTTGCGCTTCTCCTGGCGCCGGGATCCCGGCTGGGGGGCCAGGTTGTTCAGGCGGAACCGCTCTGCAGGTGGGGGAGAAGGGGGGAGAAGAGGCAAGATGCGGGGGGGGGGGGGGGGGGGGGGGGGGAGGAGGGAGGCGGAATGGGCGTGAGCAGGAGCAATAAGGGGCAATGGGAGTGAGAGGGGAAAGAGCAGGATGGGCGCTGGAGGGGAAGGATGGGGGCGGGATGGGTGTGAGCAGGAGCGGGTAGTGATGAGAGGGTAAGAGCAGGGGAGACGTCGAGAAAAGATGAGAGGATGAGAGAGAATGAGAGGGGGAGGGAGTGGATGGTTTAGGGCGACGTCAAAGACAAATTGTGGTGGCATCAGAAAGTTATTTTCTCTTTCAATGAGAGCGAGGCTCTCTAAAGAAGTACGAATACAAATAGTAACAAACGCATCACGCGCCACTGGGAGTGCGAGCTAAAACTAAACGCATGTTTAAGCAACAAACAAAAAAATGCCGCAAATAAAGAGATAGATGGCAAATGGAGAGAAAAGGACGAACGAAAGACCATGGATGGAAAGAAAAAGGTAATGGCCCTGAGGCTTTTGTGTCAACACCGGAACCGAGACATTTGTAGAAAGGGAGAGACGGAAGAACCAGGGAAGCGAGGCCACGGGAGGCAAATCGAGCGGCTCTCAGAACAAAGCGACAGTAAATCGTCATGCTGAAACGTCAGGGCGTTGGGACTATTTCTGACATCCTAGAGCCGGTGACCAGACAATGGTACGGACACGAGGGGCGTCGTCAACGAGGGCACGAGGGGAAGGCTGCCGACGGTAGAATCGAGACGAAAAGGACGAACGGAATGAGAGAGGAAAGGGACGACGAGACGGAAGATCCAGGGAAGCGAGACCACGGGAGGTAAATCGAGCGGCTCTCAGTGAAATGCGACAGTAAATCGTCATGCTGAACGTCAGGGCGTTGGGACTATTTTTGACATCCTAGAGCCGGTGATTTGACATTTTCAAGTACGGCAACCGACGCTGGAGAATTTCACGGGGAAACGAGAGCGCTATTAACGAGGAAGAAGAGGGGAAGCCTGATGACGGTGGAATGAGACGAAAGGGGCGAACGGAACGAGGGGAAAGGGATGAAGCGAGAACGACGAACGCGACAAGCGACCACGCGCCAAACCGGGGGAGGAGGTACGAGTGGCTGCACACTTCAGAATCAAGAAACTCGAGCAAATGGAAAGAACTGAGAGTTGGAAGAACCAGGGGAGCGAGAGGACGGGAGGTAGATTGGGCGGCTTTCAGTGAAATGCGACAGTAAATCGTCATTCTGAACGTCAGGGCGTTGGGACTATTTTTGACATCATCAAGCCGCGATCTGCAACCGCAATCTCGACACTTCAAATGCTGCTCCCGATCGATATCATTCCCAACCACATCGTTTAAAATCGAGCTCCGTGACGTCTCAAAACTGCTCCCCGTCGGTGTGAACTCGCGTAAGAAGTGACAGAGAGGTACCAGTTAAATCGCTCGAAATCTTTCTCACGCCGCCTGTCCTGATCCCATCAAGCACCTAAACCCTAGTCGATGCTAGTATTGAGGGCTGAAAAAACCCTGAAAACAAGTCTCCAACTGAAACTGAGGCCCGAGATGAGAATCAGCATCTCTTAACAACACTGTTATAGAAGCTCTCCGGAGAACCTGCCATTTGCTGCCACAGACTGTACACGTACTCTAAAGATACGACTGTCTCAGGTCTCGACGCTAGCTATCAACATCCCTCAGACTCGCTGAGTTTTCAAAAACGCCTCCGTCAACGGCGCCGTAAATGGTCCCGTCAACGAGTCCGTTGAACGGTTCGCCAAGTCGAGCTGATTAAAGTCATGGCTCTGCTCTACAGCAACTCAGTGGTGGAACAGCTACATTACTGCAGCACTGATTCCTAACAGCTGCTCCTTCTACATTACAACCAAGCAAATTTCATGCTTAAAGGGCTCTTCTTGACAGCTCTCCTGTAAGGAGCTCCTACATCGTCCGTCTAGCCACAACACCTGTTACCGGTTCTTCATACCACAAGCCCTCTGCCTAAGTGACTTTTGAGTCGACTCAAAAGTCACCTCCTACATCGTCCGTCTAGCCACAGCACCTGTGACCTGTTCTTCATACCACAGGTCCTCTGCCTAGCACAGCCGCTCACCTCACCTTGCGTGGCGGCGTCGGCGGAGGCCTGCGCGCGCACGGCAACGGCGGAGGGAGTCGCCGTGGCGGCAACTCGGCGGGGAGCGGAGATGGCTGCCCCGCGGAAAGAGACGGAGGCGGACGAAGAGAGGGCCTGGAGAAGACGGAAGAGAGACAGATCCAGAATGAGTGAAGGAGCAATATAGATATAACGAGAGGAAGAGGTGTTAAATGATTAAACGGGTGAGTGGTCGTGAGGGAAACAAGCACATCGATTTCTAACAACACACTAACGAGTGGGAAACGAGCTGGCGTGTGTTGGTGTTCTGGGAAATGCCAATGAAGCCTCTACGAAGCTCACATTCTGAGATCTCGACGCAGCGAGCGAGAGGCTGCTCATCTGCGCTTGCGCAGGCGCTAGGAGCGACGCCATGGCTGGCCCAGAACACAGCTACCTTGAATCGCGGAGAAATAATACCCAAGCACCAAAGGAAAAAGGAAAATAGCCTCCTTGAAAACCCTAGAGAGGGGAGGGTGAGCACAGAGAAGCTAGGAACATGAAGCAGGAGAGGAGTGGGAGTCCCTGCTCGCGAATTCAAGAGTGTGAGGTCACTGCTCAAACGATTTGTGAACGAAACGCCCGAATCGAAACTGTGGTCTCGCAATATTTCGCCAGCTGGTTCTCGAATTCTTGCGACCGAATTTCTACTGCCAGTTTGGGGCAGAAACTGCCCTGTCACCACCTTCTGGGCTTTGGTGTGATGGGCGAAGACGTGGCGACCCAGGCCTTTCCGGATGACGCTGACGTGGCAGCCAAGTGAAAACAACCATTCCCGAGGGTTCAGGGTTCAAATTCGGTAAGCTGAACCGATAGACTGACATACTGTTCTGTACGTTTACCCATCTTACGAAGTACGTACACTCCAATAAGCTTTGCGCAATATCTAACCATGCTGGTACCGTATCACCCCGGATAGTACCGCATATGCGCTTATAATAAAAATAAATATTTTAGGGGGGGCGCTTGTAATTGAGTCTAGGGCATAAGCGCATGCTCTTATATAATGACAATCACAAAATAGATTTTCGGAGCACCAAATTGTACATTTACTTCTTTCCATTTCAACAGAGTCGGAATTTGAACGAGTTGGACACCCCCTTAGGGCATCTCTAGCGCATACGTTTTGGGTAATTTAGTACCTTCTCATATCTCGTAGTTCAAAAAAGCACGTTGTACCTAAAAACGAATCCAGGGCGGGTCTAGTCTGTCAAACGTTATATCTACTATACATGTTTAGGCTGTAGTGGGGTAGCCAATATGGGGTACAGCCCACTTTAGGGTTTCATATTTGTACCCCTCTTCCATAGTTCAATCATTCCTGCTGCTAGATTTTAACATGGTTTCAGAGCACTAGGTCCGTAGGACCGTTTTTTTTAGGGCCCACCTACCGTTGCGGTTACCACGCTACCCCACGTATTGTCGTGCACATGCCTTGCCTTGTGACGTGCTGCGCTGCGCGCGCCGTCCTGCAGCCCTCGCGCTGCCTACTGCTGCCCTAGGCCAGCGCGCCACCCCTGAAGGCCAGTACGGCCCGCGCGCCGCCCCTACAGCCTCGTAAGGCCCGTGCGCCGCCTCTGCAGGCCCGTCAGGCCCGTTAGCCGCCCCTGCAGGCCCGGCAGGCCAGAGCGCCGCCCCTACAGGCCCGTCAGGCCAGAGCGCCACCCCTGCAGGCCCGTCAGGCCCGCCAGCGCCACCCCTGCAGGCCCGTCAGGCCCGCCAGCCGTCCCTGCAGGCCCGTCAGGCCCGCTAGCCGCCTCTGCAGGCCCGTCAGGCCCGCGAGCCGCCCCTGCAGGCCCGTCAGGCCAGGTCGCCGCCCCGCGCGTCGCGCCCGCTGCCCGCGCGTCGCGCTGCAGCCCCGCGCGTCGCGTCCGCTGCCCGCGCGTCGCGCTGCAGCCCCGCGCGTCGCGCCTGCTGCCCGCGCGTCGCGCTGCAGCCCCGCGCGTCGCGTTTTCTGCTCGCGCTGCAGCCCCGCGCGCCGCGTTCGCTGCCCGCGCGTCGCGCTGCAGCCCTGCGCGCCGCGTTCGCTGCCCGCGCGTCGCGCTGCAGCCCCGCGCGCCGCGCCCACAGCACGCGCAGCGCGCTGCAGCCTCACGCGCCGCGGCTGCCCCTGGACGCCGCCCTGCAGCAGCTGCCACCGTCGCTCCTGCAGCAGCTGCCACAGAGCACCCTGGCACAGTCGCGGCCCTGCCCAGCAGCAGCTGCCGCGGAGCCTTCTTCCGCCGTCGCGGCCCTGCCCTGCAGCAGCTGTCACGGAGCCTCCTGTCGCGGTCGCGGCCCTGCCCTGCAGCAGCTGCCGCGGAGCCTCCTGTCGAGTTCGCGGCCCCGCCCTGCAGTAGCTGCCGCGGAGCCTTCTGCCGCCGTTGCGGCCCCGCCCTGTAGCTGTCACGGCCCCGCCCTGCAGCGGCTGTCGCGGACCTGCCCTACCGCCGACGTGGCCCTGCTCTGCCGGAGCTGTAGCGGCCTCGCCGTCGCCGCCGTCGTGCGCCTGCCCTTCCGGCCACTGGTGAGCACCTACCTTGTTCGTGCGCTGCCGCCTGCCTGCCTGCCTGCCGGCCTGCCTGCCTGCCAGCCTGCCGCGCCTGCCCTGCTATTGCTACTGCTACTGCTGCTACTGACAGTGGCCATATGCAGCTCCAGCGACGTCCGCGTGAGTCCCTCACGCCCCAGCAGCTTAGTGAGTGGTACGCTAGTTGGGGTTGTAGGGGTGGCCGCGCTGCTACTGCTGCTACTGCTGTTACTGCTGCTACTACTGCTACTGCTGCCACTGGCGGTGGCCAGATGCAGCTCCAGCGACGTCCGCGCGAGTCTCGCACGCCCCAGCAGCTTAGTGAGTGGTACGCTAGTTGGGGTTGTCGCGGTAGCCATCGTAGCTGTCGCCCTGGAGCTGGTCAGTTGGGAGAGTCTGGCGCAGGCCAGCTGCAGCTGCAGCGGCATCCACGCGAGACACTTACGTCCCAGCAGCTTCACGAGTGGTACGCTCAGAGTAGAGGGTTTCTGAGTACCGTTCGCTGCCCGTACGTCATTCGCACTGGTGCTCGGACTAGTCAGGCTTGCGGGACGCTCAGTCACACAGAGTCCTGCTGCTTCGCCCGTCTGAGCGACGCCTGGCGTACCGAGTTTGGCGACGAGGCTGAGCTCCCCGACTGGGTGGAGCTGCTTGGGCAGAGGGTAGATATCTTTGCTCTTGACTATGATGTTATTCTCACACCCATGTATGCATTGCCTACTAGTGCTGACTGTGCCTGTTACCTGTGCGTACTGCCTGACCCAGGTATAGAGCCTGCTGCTCTAGGTGTCGGTGAGGCTGTTGCTCTAGGGGCTAGTGTGTCTCCTGCTCTAGGTACGGGTGAGACTGCTGCTCCAGGTGCTGGTGAGTCCGCTCTCTCTGGTACTGCGCCTGCTCAGGCCTTGTACACCTTCACACTTGACTCTGGTGCTTCTCGCTCCTTCTTTCGCGACAGTACCATCCTCACGCCGCTCAGTCGGCCGGTTCCAGCCTCTGGCAGACCCCTCTGGGGGTCCAGTCCGTGCGACCTCTTCCACTGTCCTCCCTTGTCCTGCTGTCCCGTCCGGCACACTGTCGGGTCTTCACCTCCCCTCGTTCTCTACGAACTTGGTGGCGGGTTCTGCGCTCCAGGACGCGGGTGTTCACCAGTTCACCCCTGCCTACGAGCGTGTGACACACTGCACATGTGCTCAGACGGGTCGTCACCTGGCTACCTTCACTCGGCAGCCGGGGTCGGGCCTGTACACACTGACCACAGAGTCACCTCAGGTAGCTGCGTCTGCGTCTGCGTCAGGTCAGTTGTCGGCCCCCTGCTCGTGTCGCGCCTTGTCACACCAGACCCTCCTTTGGCACAACCGCCTTGATCACCCCTCGGTGCAGCGCCTTCGCAGCATGCACCGCCGTGTCCTTGTCTCTGGTCTTCCCAGGGTTCTTCCTCCCCTCCCACCCTCGCCTGCTCCTCCCTGTCTTCCCTGTGTCGAGGGGCGGCAGCGCGCCGCTCCTCACTCCTCCTCGTTCCCTCCCATAGAGGCTCCCCTGCAGACTCTCCACCTGGACGTGTGGGGCCCAGCCCGCGTCCGTGGACAGGGCCACGAGCGGTACTTCCTGCTGGTCGTCGACGACTACACGCGTTACACCACGGTCTTCCCCTTGCGCACCAAGGGTGAGTTCTCTGATGTTTTGATCCCCTGGATCCGCGCTGCTCGTCTCCAGCTCCGCGAGTCGTTCGGGACGGAGTTTCCCCTCCTGCGTCTGCACTCTGACAGAGGTGGTGAGTTTTCCTCCGACCTCTTGGCTGCCTTCTGTGAGGAGCACGGCATCACCCAGTCGTTCACGCTTCCGGCCTCTCCGCAGCAGAATGGGGTTGCTGAGCGCCGCATTGGCTTAGTCATGGAGGTCGCTCGTACCTCCATGATCCATGCGGCTGCCCCCTATTTTCTGTGGCCGTTTGCGGTCCGGTACGCCGCGCATCAGCTCAACCTCTGGCCCCGTGTCTCCTTGCCGGAGACCTCGCCCACATTGCTGTGGACGGGGAAGGTTGGCGATGCGTCGCGTTTCCGGGACTGGGGTGCTCGTGCCTTTGTCCGCGATTCCACCGCGGACAAGCTCTCCGCCCGCGCTGTTCCCTGTGTCTTCCTTGGCTTTGTCCCTGACGCGCCTGGTTGGCAGTTTTACCACCCCACCTCGCGCCGTGTCTTCCCCTCTCAGGACGTCACGTTTGACGAGTCGGTTCCCTTTTACCGTCTCTTCCCCTACCGCACTGCCCCTCTCCCCTCCCCGCCGCTCTTCCTCGCTCCAGGTGCTTCCCAGTTAGACCCCCTCCCCACTCCCGGTCCTGCTCCTTCAGGTGTGTCTCAGGTAGACCCTCCTCCCTTGACTGCGCCGGTTGAGGTCACTGGTGACTCAGGTCCTGCTGAGGGTGGTCCTGCTCGGGGTGCTGCTTCTGGGGGTGCTGAGCCTGGGGGTGCGGAGCCTGGGGGTGCTGAGCCTGGGGGTGCGGAGCCTGGGGGTGCTGAGCCTGGAGGTGCGGAGCCTGGGGGTGCGGAGTCTGGAGCTGCTGCGGGTGCTGGCGCTGGAGGTTCTGGAGCTGCTGCGGGTGCTGGCGCTGGAGGTTTTGGAGCTGCTGCGGGTGCTGGCGCTGAGGGTTCTGAGTCTGCTGTTGCGCGGTCTCCCTGGAGTAGCCGCCTTCGTCTGCGTGTGCCTCTCACCTCACAGCAGCTGCACGACTGGTACGGTCGCCGTCAGGGTCGCGCTTCTGGAGCTCGGGGCTCTGCCGCTGGAGGTGTTTCTGCTGTCGTCACTGGAGCTGGGAGTGGTGCTGGTCCCGGAGGTGCTCGTACTGGAGGTACTGGAGCTGCTGGGGCTG